AATAGTAATTAATATTTATTAACTAAATATTAATATGTTTGGGCCCTTTCTCAAATATAGGCTTCTATACAAACTTTGCAACTGAAATGTTCACACTTGATCGTAAATTGTACTGTACTGACAGTACTTGAAAATTATAAACTGGTTGTACATGATACTTCAAAGAGACTTAAGAGATATATATCTGAGTATACCACAGTGTAATTAAAAGGCATATGATTCAGCCACTCTCTTGCCTAAAACATAGGCGCTGAAGTCAGAAGCGACAGATCTCCACAGGCGTTTGTAACATTATTGCAGTTAAGATTCTTCACTAGCAGCAGTTTTCATGCTGAAGTAAAGTTCTAATTCTGAAATATAATTTCAAAAGCATGATAATTTATTTTCATTACATCCACAGCTTATGTAAATCCAGCTATGTTCAGCCTACTGGCATTAAACTACCTCTCATAATTTTAAACCAACTGCAAGCACATGGCAGACAGAACTTTGTCATGAACTCGGCCTTTTCCTTCTCATACATCTTACACAGCATGCTTTCCCATTATGCCAGAAAAGTTGCTTAATGTGAAGACTGGTAAAAATATACAAGTAGAATGTAACTAGAGATCTGGGCTGTTTTTCTGAGTATATATCGGCAGTTATGGCACACAAAAAAAAAACATAGATAGAAAAACCACACCTATCTAGGCATGTGTTTTCCTGGGGAAGAAAAAAAACTTGAATCTTTTTAAGTCCTGCATGTTTGAGAGGAAACACACTGAAAAAATTTATACTGAAAAATTACATAGGATGTACATAACAATGTTTCAAAGCAGCTGTTTCAAAAACGTACTTTAAGAGAATTTAAAGGAAGTGGTTATACATACTTTCTCAGTTCTCTCTGCTACATTCCTCCATGTATAAAAAGTCTTTACTTGATTATGAACAGTTTCTGGAGATGATAGTGTTCCTGATTTGAGCTGGGCAATAGCTTTTTCTAATCCATCACACAAAGATTTCACGGAGGGTTCACATAAAATAATGAGATTTTCTGGAAGCACCTCAGGAATCCCACCAACTCTTGTACTCACCACCTTTGAAAGAAATAAAAGAAATAGCACATACACTGCATGACAATAAAACCAAGCGATGACACTGTTTAGATGCAGCACTCAAGAACAGGAAAAAAAATACAATCAGTGGTTGCCATGAAGGCAAAACACTGATAACATGCTTTGGGAATTTTATCTGTATGCAAACTAAAAGTTTAGGCCTTAAAAAAGACTTAGCATAGCAGATTATCTTTAATGATGATTCTTTGAGAGTATGATGAAACAGAAGATGTAGTCAAATGAGTGGTTTATGAGACATCTTTCCTAAAGGTGTTTCTTGCAGCGTGCAACTAAATCTGAGTAACTGGATTTTGAGCTTTCTCTCCATAGTCCCTCATTAAAACCATAACCTCTACCTAGAGAGGACAGTTCTACCACACCCACCTTCATTTTATGATAGAAGGCTACTAAACTTTTACAAGAATTTCTGTAGAAGTAATTTTAACCTGAAGTATTATTTTTGAAGGGAAATCAGCAATTACTAAGACTGACATTACACAGTCATCTCTAAGCAGTGGGCAAAAATAAGAAAACAGCAAAACTTCCTCAGCTCAAGAGAGGCAAACAGATGACAGAGGAATAACTACCACAACTAGGCAGTAACTACTGGCAAAGAATACCGGAGTAAAAAAGAGGAAGTCCCTCACATTTTTAGTTCTTCTATATTACTCTTATTGGATTGTATTCTTAAAAAAAAAAAAAAAAAAAAAAATTAATGTGAGAATCTAAGTTTTTTATGGCTGTTGATTTAACTTTTTTTTTTTTGAGTTGTCAGTCCACATTATAATTAGCCAGAAAGGGCTTTTACAGTTTTCTCTCTCTCAAACTCTTACCTATAAACCCCTACATGGTAAGGCAAATACATCCTCGGTTAATATAAGAAAACAAATGTCACTTCTTCAGAAAGAAAACAGTTCTAGTACAATGGCTCAGTTTACTAATTCAATATGCCTGACTGATCAGTCCCCAGTGCTCATGAGCCATTTTTCTGCAGATTCTCTTAAAGCAGTGTCAAAGTAAACCTTCACAAACATCAACTAACCCAAAACTCTGTAAAGGAGTACATACAAAATAGCATTTTGGAGAGGCAGTCTGGTTAGTTCAGAGAACTGAGAGTTAGAAGATCTACATGTTATTCCCAATTCTGCACAAGTTTCTTCTGGGAGCTTAAGCAGTTTCAGTTAACCCTTCTGTCTCAGCTTCCAGGTGATCTGTAAATGGGGATAATATTTGCTCACCTTTGTAAAGACAGAGCCTCAGATGACATCAAATGTTATAAGCACTTATTACATAATCATGAACTTTTTTTTAAAATGGATACATGCATTCTAGATAGTTGAGATTTTTTTAATTTTTTTTTTTTTTTTACCTGTAAACCACAGCTGCTGCTTCCACAATTGCCATGCAAAAGGCCTCAGTGAGGGAAGTGTTGAGAAAAATGTGCCCCTGGACTAGAACATTTCTAACATCCTGGTGTTCCAAAGCTCCTAGGAGACGTACCCTGCATATTAATGGGAAAAAAGGTAAACGCCAGATTTGGACTGTAATAATGCTCTGTAGGGTTACACATAGCCTGAAAAATGTTCAAATGGTTCACACTTATATCGTAAGATGGAACACAGATATCTTTGTTCCATTTTCTCTAGATTTTTCCAGCAATGAGTTGAAGACTCTATTCCTTATTTTTTGACTAAAAGAAACTTCTGAAAATAAAGTTAGGGGGACAAGTTGGTCTGTTTGTTTTAATGGCAATTGCCTTCAAAACATTGTTACTGAGCTTTCTAGTTCTGTATGACAAAGCAGCTTCATGCAGCTGTCATTCTTTCTTTGTTTAGATGTCTTATCTGAATATTTAATGTGGGGGTCTCCCCAATCTCAAAGTCTGAGGGGGGTGAGGGGACCTATTATTTTGAAGAGATACTGAAAAACAGTAAGTTTTTCAGGCATAAGTCTTTTAAAGACATAAGTCTTCAGTTAGTGTCTGGTCTTTGTCTTCAGTAGTTCTCATCTTCTACAGCATCAAGTTCTGTGTCTTTTTTTTGGGGGGGAGGGTTAAGGGGAAAGGCAGAAAAGGTGTTGCTGTTGTCTTTCGCACCTCTAAAGTATATTGAAGGGCCATACATCCGCATAGAACAAACCTGTCATGTAGCTGGTATCTTTCCCGGACTTCTTCCAGTACAATTCGTTTTGGTCCTTCTCCTCCAACCAAGAAATGTAACTCTGGATATTTCTGACAGAGCTCAGGAATTATACCACTAAGCAAATCTATACCTAAGAGTAGAAAATTTAGGGCAAGCCGTTATTGTATTTAACTTTAGAACTTAGAGCTAAGAGGATGATTAAGGGACTTGAACATCTGTCCTATGAAGACAGACTGAGAGAACTGTGACTGTTTAGTCTTGAGAAAAGGGAGCTGAGAGGGGATCTTATAATGTATATAAAAAACTGAGGAGTGGGCGTCAAGAAGAAGGGGCCAGTCTCTTTTCAGTGGTCCCCAGTAACAGGACAAGGAATAATGGTTATAAGCTAGAGCATAGGAAGTTCCACCTCAACAGGAGAAGAAACTTCTTTACTGAGGGTGATGGAGCACTGGCACAGGCTGCCCAGGGAGGTTGTGGAGTCTCCTTCTCTGGAGACTTTCAAAACCTGCCTGGATGCGTTCCTGTGTTGTCTGCCCTAGGGAGGCTGGAACCCAGAGGGGTTCCTGTGTGGCCTGCCCTCTGGCAGGGAGTTGGACTAGATGATCTCTAGAGGTCCCTTCCAACGCCTAACGTTCTATGATTCTGTGTAGCCTACTGCTATAACTTTATTCAAGAAAAGAAAAAAAAAAAGAGCCTTCTGAAGACAAGTTACACTGAACAGAAAAATTTGAAACATGGACAACGTGTGACCTAACAAGAGACAAAAAACAAAGAAACCCAAAACACTTAAGTTGCTATTGTTTGAGTAAATAAAAACAACAGTTAAAACATTTCTAACAGAAAATCTAGATTAGAGCCTAAATCATACAGAATCCTAGTATAGAATGCATTGGGTTGGAAAGGACCTGTAATCTAGTCCAATACCCTGCAATGAGCATGGATATCCTTAACTAGACCAGGTTTCTCAGAGGCCCATCAAGCCTGACCTTGAATGCCTCTAGGGATGGGGTCTCCACCACCATTCCGGGCAACCTGTGCCAGTTTTTTTCACCACCCTCATTGTAAAAAATTTCTGCCTTATATTCAGTCTAAATCTACACTCTTTTAGTTTAAAATCATTGCCCCTTGTGCTGTCACAACAGGCCCCAATAAAAGCCAATCCTTCCATTTTACAAATATCAGTTTTCAATTTCTTCAATATTACAAAAGAAATATACCTCTGAACTAAACACAGGCAAACCTAAATGTACGTTTCTTCTTCCTGAATGCACACACACACAAAAGCTCAGAACCGCCACATCTCTCATTTAGAACCCAATCCATACCACAGATAGAGTGTTAGTGATACCTAAACCAAGACCTTTCTTACCATGCTCTAAAGAAAAAAATAACCAAAATAAACTTACATTTTTTTCCCCCATTACCTTTTCTGTAAACAAGTCTGCTGACAACAACAATTGTTATTGTACCGCCATCCCTTCTTGATGGATCTGGAGTAAAGTCGGTGGGATCGACAGCGTTGGGTATCACAGAGACTATCCGGGGGTCCAATGCAGCTCGCAGCACGGTATTTTCCTTACTCGTGTAGGAGACACAGATGATGTGGTTCGTGTCACACAGGGACACTGTCAGAAGTTTGTTGGTAAGCACCGAGCTGACATCTGCGAACCCGAAGAGGGAGTGGTCCGTGAACACCGTCCGCAGCCCCATGGTCTTGGCATGGAAGAGGGCGTCATGCGCCATGGCGGAGAAGGAGCTGTGAGCGTGGACAACAGTGACCTTCTCCCGCACAAATATGTACCTGAGCAGGGGCAGGCTGTGGAAGAGTGTTGTTGCTGTGGACTGGTTGTACATTACCTTCAGGGGCAAGTAGTAGACTTTCAGCCCGTTGGTGAGGTAGCGGACGCCTTTCCGGCAGCCGTAGGCAGTCGGCGGCCCCTTTCCCGCCAGCCATAGGCATGGGTGACCACCAGGACCTTGTGGCCCCGCTCGATGAGGCACTGGGACAGCTGATACACGTGACTCTCCACGCCCCCCATGTTGGGGTAGAAGAAGTCCGACACCATGCAGATGCTGT